TTAGAATGTTTCTTAGTAAAAAACATAAAAATAAAAAATACAATGATTGTTGATGTTGTCGATGGTTGTTTTTTCAAACCCATTAAAATATTTAGACCTAAGAAATTTCGTGTTTGGTAGCTAGTATATATGGTTTCTGGAATTGTTGTGCATATAAATTTGTTTGAAATAATATAACTTCAATCAGAGAATCTGGGAACATTTGTAGAAATAAGTTATAAGATAATTTATTTTTCATTGAAAGTAAATCTGTTGATAAATTCGAGACAGATAAGAATACTGTATTAGTAAAAACTTCATTTTGTATATCCCATTTAGGTTCAACAAATGGATATACAACAGTTTGAGTGGGTAATATTACAAAAGGCTGATCAAAAGTAGTAGGAGGTAATATATTTTGCAAATTATTAGTATCGACAACCCTACTTGAATTCTTACAAGTAAATTTTCTCTTCTTAACCTTGGATACTATAGATAATATAGACCGATCAATGAATATTTATCTTTAATTAAATTAGTTTTTTTTTTTCTAGCAAAATATTCTCTAAAAATAATTTATATGACAAAACAACGTTTTTCGGGTCAGCTAGTATATATATACAAGTATATAATAGATATATACTTGTAAACCGTCCCGGCTCCGTACGGGTATTTTCTGGATCTGCAGTCAAATCAATTTGTGGAAATTTGTAATCAGCGGGTCGATATGGTAGCTTCCAACTAGGTGATACACTTGCCCAAGAATTTTAAATGTAGGCATAAAAACACGCTCAACGACTTGCTTACTTTTGAAAGAGGTCATTTGAAATGCGTTATTATAACGGCGTATTTATAAATTGCACATGAATTGTTTGGATTTTGGATGATCGCCTGTAAGGAGAGAGTGAAGTGGTTCAGGTGGAGTAAGAATTTTTTCTAATTTTACTTTTCTTTGTATGCAACACATGCCTTTTGATCAGTAGTTGAAATGGCTCAAGATAAGTGGAGGGATGCCTTACAATTCAGATTTCCTGATATTATTATAACATTCTTCACACTTTGTGTACCTATAATATTTTATTTTTTTTTTTTGTAGTTCACATAAGGTATATTATCTTAGTCCGTGGCTCTAAATACGGATAAATACGGGTTGCAAAACGGCTTATACTAAACAATACGATAAACAGGTTCAGGCGCCCGGGCCTGAATATTAGATATATTAATATATATTAGATTTATTATAATTATTAATATATAATAGATATATTAGTTATTTTACATGTATTTTTTATCAATAAAATAACTCTGTCCAATATATATGTTTTAAAAAATATTTAGTTTTTTTACATCTTCTTTGACAATATTTACAGCATGTATTCTGTCAATTCTATGTCAAACGTCAAAAGGTTACATTAAAAAAGTTTATATTGTCCAAAGCGCTAAGGTTAGATTAGAAATAATTTTACATGGTGGTTAAATATTCTTAAATTTTCTAATTTTTCGCGCAATTTTCTCAATTTTTTTTCATAAGAATTTTCCCTTGACAATAACAAACATAACAAAAAAAAAATTAGCGAAATCGGTCCAGCCGTTCACGTGTGATGGCATGTCCAAAGGAAATAGGTATTAATTTATATATATATAATAATAGAAGATATCGGTTAGTTGATTAATTAAAAACGATTAACTACACTCAAAGTTATAACAAATCGAATTTAAACAATACGAGTGTAACAGTAATTCATAATAATTTTATGATATATGTGTAGTACAGTGTAATAAATTAGTAATGGAGTAATTTATAATATTGAATATTTAAAATTTGAATGCTTAGTTGGTAAACTTTTCAAAGACATCGTGTAGCTTTTTAAAATTATTTACATCAAATTAATGCGTTTTCCATAAGTAAATTGTTATTTTGAGTTTGCATACATAGGTATATGTATGCAAAATAATTAATTTACTTACTTACTACTTACACTTTATCGTATTGATGTATTATTTCTACCAAGTTTTCATACATTTAAAATATATTTTATAACCCATCTAATTAAATAGACGGTACTGTGGCTGAACAAGTTCCCTCTTTGATGTTAATCAATCCATCTTATTATATTTTATTGTATTATCTCATTTATTTATGTTTATTTGTATAGATTATAAAGTTTATTTAATAAAAAAAAAAAAAATATGATGATTCATTGATTTACGTTTCAATATTTAAATATTAGAAATTTGGTTTAATTATATTTTTATTTGTATAAAGTTGTATTTATAAACATTTGTAACACGTGCAAATACATTTTAATCGATATAAAACAAAGGAAATTTTTTTCTTCTAATATTTAAGTTTTTTATTTTCTTTAGCACATATACATAATAATGCAGTTTATCGTATAAAATGAACATATTGTTTAATGTATGATATATCATTATAACTTTAAGATTATCTCGTTGTTGAGTATTATGTCATTTTATTGTCAAACAATAAATTCCATTTTATCGATTATTATGTACTGAGAACAGAAGAGAAGGACATATTATAATGATATGGATACTTTTCTTTTAATGAATTATATTATGAATATTGTAACTTGACTAATGTTTGACTTATTGTATCATATTTTATAATGCTTTCACATAGAAGTGTTATCAATATTTCTGTCGTGTTTGTGTCGAATAAAATAATAACTATCCGTTCGTAATATATGTTGAGTAAAATATCACGTGAAGTGCTATGAGCACTTTTAATTAGGACGTCATGCGAATGATTAACAATATTAGGTATACGGTTATAGCTTTTTTCTGAAGAAATAATGTCCCTGTGCATCGCGATCGATTGGCCTACAACGCCTTGTGTGTAAAGAAACCGTCTATATACCATAGTTGTACAAAGCACCGAGTGGTATTATTACTACATAGTCAATCGCCGTTCGTATCTTTATCGCTGTTATACGTTTAAACGTGAAAACCAGTAACGGTAATGCCAACCCATTAACGATAAAATATCAATATAAACACCAAAGTATGCACGTCTATGGGGAGTTTTACGAGATTCAGATTCAGATATTAAATTGAATATACAACACACAAATTTTTACTAACGTATTATCGAGGAAAATATTTAGTACTTTTTTTTTAAAAAGAACTCCGAAATCAATCCTCGATTTCTTAGTATGCAAAATGATATGGAAGTATAGTAAGCACCTAATAGAAGACCAAATTATCGATGATGTTTGGAATAGAAAATAAAAGAAATTCGTAGTAGTTTTTTTGATTTATACAACTTGTTTCAAGTCCTTAAATCACTATTTTAATATATTTTTCAAATAAAACCTACCATGATTGTATTTTTTTTTTATTTTTTTTTTACATATGTTTTAAGCGAAAAGCGTGTTTTAATTGTAGGTATTTAATTTTCATTTAAAGTAGGGACAAGTAATAAAAAAAGTAGGCCATAATATAATATAGTGGTTATAGTATAACATACAATTATTTGACTAGAACATTAAAAGATTCAAGGCTCTCCTATTACAGCGTCAAATCAAATTAAATACCTAGGAATAATTCTAGACAAAATACTGACTTGAAGCACATATTTAAAAACCAAGCGTAAAATACTTAACATAGTCGTCTTCACCTTCTCTATCCAATTCTAAAATCAAAACTATCTATTGAAACAAAAATAATTATATACAATTCCTTTCTGAGACCCATTTAAATTTATCTAAGAAATCCAAATCAAGGATGTATCTCAGCCTTCTCAAATCCGCACCATTCAGGAATTTCAATTCATTTTTCTTCGTACCATTACTTCAGAACTTTGATTTATTTCAAATAGTTCCCTTGATAATAATATCAATATAGAAACTATAAACCAATTAGCAAAAAGATCAGCGTTTAAATTTTCACCGTTAACATAATAAAACAATATTATTTGAAAATTTATAAAATACTATCACAAAGGGCTCTATCAGTGGATAGCCTCCTTCTATTGAGATTTTATCATTTGTTTGTAAATTATTTTAACATATTATCTTATTGTGCATACCTATTTCATGGATTGAATACATTAAATTAGTTTTATTATTATATTTTAACGTCGGACATGGACAAAAATTTCTCATTTAAAATTGTTATATTTCGATGGATATTTTCTATTTTAAACTATTATTTAATGAAATCGTTAATGATTTAGAATTATAATGTACAGACCCTAATATTTGTATAAATACCGGAAACTAGTCTTTAAATTAAAAGTGTGCATTAAGCTCAGTCACTGTCAATCCATCTTAGTAAATTTTCAGCATACTTTTACCAGTCATCGAATTGAATTTGTACATAATACAATTCTATGGTAATAAAGTGTGGTTGTAGTGATAGGTCGTAGCTTTATTTTTATATTTCAGTTAAGCTACTTGTCCGAGTCACTAGTTCCTGGATGGGTGACCATTAGAGAATTTTGGTATATCCGAGTTGGCTTCCAGATAATATTTATTAAAAAGATAAACACCTAATAGAATCTAATTATCATATAAAACGATAATATACTAGTTTGGTACAACTACTACGATAATAAAATCTGTAACTTAAAAGTATTGATACTTTTGATAATGTTGAAAAAATAATAGATTTGAGTTTGTAAGAGTTCTATAATTTACATTTTTATAAATTGTGTACATTTTTAATTTTTTTAATCATTTATTTATTTACCATACATTGTTGTTTTATTTTCAATTAATAATTATTCACCATATATTAGAAACTTAAAAAAAAAATCATACCTGTTTTCTAATTTATAGATTGTTGGCAGTCTGTATAATTGAGAAGAGAAATGTTTTTTATTTTATATGGACCCAACTAGAACAGTAATAGTAAAATCATGGGATCCAACTAGTGTACACTTGAAAAACACTGCAAACTAACTAAACTAAATAAGGGTATTGGGGACTCAAATAGTAAAAACGCCAGAGAATTTAACATTGAAGCTACATCACTTCTACGCTACGAACTATACCGACCTTTTTGGTTCTTCCTGTTCTCCAAATACACCCGAGATGATGTGGGTTGAATGACAATAAATCTACAAAACAAATATAATTGAATATTTTATCATAATAAATTAATATTAAAAGCTAATTTTGTTACCGATTGTGTAAATATACTTTTTAATGGTTCTGAGTTCTATAAAATTAAAAATAACACGTGTTCATACATTTTGGCCCGATAAGAGCTTTTGATATTTTATATTGCTTTCGAGTTGAAAAGTTTGAAGGCCACTGATTTATGGCATATAAAAACAAGTATGACTAAATGACAAATGGAAATGAGTATGTAAAGCAATGGTTCCAAGCAAGTTGGGAGAAATGGTCAGAAACTACAAGTTTGATAACCCATTTAATATTGTAGAGATAGCTCTTGATAATTGTATTTCCTTTAGTTCGTTAAGTAACCAATTTCTATATACCAATAAGTTGAAAATGAACAGTTTATTGTGAATTAAAATAAAAACATCTGGATTCCCGGATATTTTAACTAGACAAACATTCAACAAAATTAAGGAATGGAAGAAGTATCATATATTTAAAAAAAAAACCGCTCGCTTAATGATGTAGTTCAAGTTCAAGATCTGCCACAAATCTAGGAGACTCTAACCACCAACAAAGTACAAAAAAAGATGGGTTTACTCACCATGGTAGATTATTTAAACAAGCCATATAAAGAATTTTACCGCAACAATAAATAAATAAAATATGTTTTGTAAAAAGTAACATGTGTAAAAAAAAGGAATAATCACATAATATATTTTTTTTTAATTTTAATATTAACTTTTTTATTTGTTATTTTATAATTTTTTTATTAATTTTATTTTTTACTTGACTTTGTTTTTGGCAAAATTTGTTAAGGTTTCATGCAATAAACAGTTTAAAAATAGTAGTAGAAATGGTTTTTTGCTTCTCCTGAAAAATTAATATTTTAGACAAAATAGCTTTTCCATGGATACCCTTAAATTATTTATATTGAAATATTTAAGAAAGCTTTAGAATCTTTACCTACATACTACAGATTTAATGAATATTCGAATATTCGAATATCAGTATTCGATGCTACAATACCTTATTTGTTTTATCCGTTATTCCATGACAAGCTTTTTATACTATTTATTATTAATAAGTAATCCATATCTACAAAATTAATATGTCAATGATTAATCGACCTAAATACGAAAGTAGTTCTTATTTTGCAGGTACCTGTTCGTAGTTAGCTTTATTTTACTCGTTTTAGACGTATATTTTAATATACAATCACATGTGCCATGCCAGGACCTAACGTTTTGTTTGTTGTAAGCAGTATCTCGTTCTAAGCAATGCTCGCTATAGTGATTTATACTGTTTATACTATTTATACTTTAGTTTATACTGTATTAATAATAATTTGATTATGATATTCGAGTATTTTACACAATTTTTATTTTTGTATTTTAATTTCAATGTCGAATAGTAAATACCGCTGGCTTCGAATCCATTTCTCGCAGGCCTTTATGCACCATAAGCCATATAATATTATTATTGAACGTTTTATGTTGCGCGAAAACTTAAACGAATAATTTTCGTTACGTATTGTATTGCGGTATTGAATACTGATATTCGAATGGTTGAATATTCAAATATTCGAATATTCGAATTATTTACGCTAGACCTATTCGAATTCGAATACTCAAATAATTTCCATAACTGCTACATACATTTCTTAATTCATGTTTATTTAATATTTTATTATTGTTAATTATATATAGTTTAAACCGGAAGCATTATTATTGTATTATACAACATTTGTATAGTATTTGTTATATGAATTCAAATAAAATAAAAATTTTAAATTTATAAAATGGTATATTATGTATTAAAATCTATAAACTATAATATCAATTATTGATGAATTTAATAAAAATATATTAAAAAACACAAAATGTTAATTTAAAAAAGGTATATGTCAATATTTCATACTTATATTTATAAAGATGATTTATGTCCAACATTGCATTCGATTAAAATAATTATTAAACACTCGATACCATACTTTTATGTTACGTAATATGTAATCGATAATTCCAAAATAATGGATAGCTTACCTTATGATAATATGCATATAAAATTTAATTTCTGATTTATTTAACTCAACAATAAGTAAATGTCTCTGTTAATTTGAATTTAATTAGATACAAATTTACAATGGTATTGAATTTGTTACTCAAATTTTGTTGAAATAAATAAAATATGAATTTTAGGGATAAATAACACGACTGTGTACACGTATTTTTTATAATTTTAATATTACTAGTTTTTTTTTTTAATTGTTTTATTAAAAACCGTACCTACTAGTGAAATATAGTAAACAACAACCATGATAAAAATGATTATTGCTGAAGATTTTTTTTTATTGAAATCATATATTTATAGTTGATATATATCTTTCAAATATATAATAATGAAATTGGATTTGAAATCAACTTCGAGTTTACTTTATTACATGGGCGTCACTAAAGACCAAATTTTGGGATAGCAAAGATTATTTTTATAAAGTTAAAAAATACATTTTCAAAGGTTTAACATGATAACTGGCTTAACTGGCTTACTTAACTGGCTACCTTTTCTTCATAAATCTTGGTATGACGTATAGTGTAACTCTGTCTTATTGTTCGTATAGGACTTATCACAAAGTATGATTATTTTGGATACAATCACAATAATAAATGGTCTATGTTCGTACACACTTGAATAATAAACTTCGAATATATTTTTAAAATCTATAATTTTTTTTTGGGTAGACGATTTTATAATAAATAATAATATAATATTTTTCTTCGATAAAATATGAAATTTTTATAACACAAAATTAATACTATGTATTAATATGTATGCCATAAAAGATTATTTAAAAAAAGTCAATTTAACTACCATAAAATAAATTACAAATACATAATTTTATACTTTTATAATTACTGTCTTATAATAATATATATACATTTATAGATGATTATAATAAACGATGATGATAGTTTAATTAATGGAATGATAAGGATACAAATACTGGTTTTTGGCCATTAAAAAAAAAAAAAAAGAAAGAAAGAATTAGCTAATGGACAAAATTCATTACATTTTAATTTAAATGGCTTTGTATGTTATAACTATAACTTGTTTGAATTAGGCATTGTAATGCGATCATTATTGCAAAAAACATTTATATTCATGTGAGCAAAAAAAAAAAAAAATATATATGCTTAGTGTGCTAAGTTGAGTATGAAAATAAAATAAATGAATATACATTTTCGAAACGCAAAGCAATCGTTCGATGTAAATCGATTCAAATTCTTTTCGATTCTTCGCCGATGAGTAATATTTCTGTTAGCATGTAGTCCTGGATCCTTTCATAGGGTTTAAGCATATATACAGGATGATTATTTTTTAATATTCAAAACTTGATATTCCTGATAATTTATGCATTTTTTTAAATATTTCACTTCGTTATTTTCATTGTAATAATATTTTAATAGTTTTTACAGTTTTTTGAATTTGGAAAACTTAAATTCATTAAATTTCATATATTGAAATTGAGTATTCCACTAAAGATGTCAGTACACAAAAATCAAGTATCATTATATCAAATTATATCAAATATTAATATGGGTTTTAATATTATTATACCAGTGGAGTGAAGTGTGTGCTAGAAGAGACTAGGACGAATGTCGGTAAAATACTCAGATTATTAGATTTTCAAATTAATCATTCGTTAAAATTGAATTTCCAACATTAGTAAAAAGTAATTGCGATCCCGCTTTAAAGAAAAACTTATGAAAACTCTTGTATACAAATTATAAGCCTATCGTACCACATTTGAAATTCTTATGCATTTTTACTTACAGAATTCTAAGGGCTTAAAAAAAAGTTATATTGAAAGATTTTCGATTTTTATACATGAATAAGAATTTTCAACATTTTTTTTTTTTTACATATTTTATTTTACTTATATTTTAAAAAAGAGCTAAGAAAATATCAAATATTTAGCACAGAAAAAAAATATCAACATCTTTTGAAAACCATACCAACTGTAGAAAACGATTTAATTATTCAGTATTCAGTTAACATTTTCAGTCTTCCAGTCTAGTGATTATTTTTTTTTTAGTATAACGAAAAAGTATCGATTTTATCGAATACTAGCAATTCGTAAATGTTGTCATTATTTTATGTTGTAATTTTTCGTCAGTTCTTCTCAATCATCAGGATAACTGTGGGGCAATTAAAAACATGACCCTTGAACGCACAAACTAATCATTTACTATTAAAAACCATTTCTTTTTTCCAGCGATCCGAGCAACCGCAGTGGTCGATACCGTGTACACGGACACGAAAAAAAATAAAAATACACAATGGTAGAAACGTGCGATACATGTAACAATGCCATGCAAAACCTAAGAGTAAAAACAAACCGAAAGGTAAAACAAGAGATTCCACGTTAAATATTAAATAATCCCGTGCAGATATCACAATAATATACGGGTAATGTGCATTGGGATTGTGGCCGTCGTCGCGCGTACGAAATCTTATTCGAGACGATTTCAATTTTTTTTTTTTTACCTACGTCGTCTTACCACTGCAGTTAGTGATTGCAGCGTTAAGGGTACGAACGAAAAACTAGACCTCGCACCGCACTCGCATCGTCTTGGTGTCGCATTAAATAATGTACGGGCATTACTTACGTGTACCCTGCAGCAGCGATGGCGGTGTGATTTAAACGCTCGTCCGTGCGCGCTGGAAACAGCAGCGGTTAACGGCGCGCGCGTTCGTCCCGGCGTCAACGGTTTTGCACTGCGCCTTCCGACGTCGACTATTACCGCGATTAATATTATTATTATTATTACAGTTATTGCTGTTATTTTAACACAATAATTATTGCTGTCGCCGTCGCTGTTCGGACGTTTTTCGAGTCGATTTATTATAACGGAACCGAACGTCTTCGCGATGTGGTGCGCACGTTCGCGTCATGAACACGAATAAAAAAATACGGACCGAGATCGGCCGGTGGGTTGTTCGTCGTCGTCGTCGTCGTCGTCGAGCGTGTGCAAACCAAATCGACCGGCACTCGGCGGCCAAATGCGATATGGTAACGCGAGGGGCGATCAATCCACCGCGGCCTCGGCAATCGCGTGTGTCGAGTCGCGTGTCTATGCATAAATAAACACAACAAAAACAACGCGACTACGCGCGTGCGTCCGCGAACGTACACGTGTTTCGTATATATATTTTAAAAATTATGTGTACATAATACGTCTACGTATATATATGTAAATTAATTATATGAACGTTTTCCAGTCGTACACGCGTTGTACGTGTGTACGCCGTAAAAGAACCGCGCACGCGAATCGGCTAGCGGTGGCGTTACGTAGATCGGTGGTCGGAGATAGGCATATTCGGTAAAATTACACGATCGCGAAAAATTAATAATTCAACTCCGGAGCGAATTGCCGTTATTATTACCGTTACCGTGTTGGTAACCGAACCGTCTACGTGATAACATTTTAGAAGGATTAAAAACAACGCACCCCGGGGTTGTTTTAATTTTTTTTTTTTTTTAATTTTCTTGCACTCAAACACAATCTTTGAATTTCTCGGGTTTTCCGTACGCACAGCAGAATCGCATTCACGGGATTCACTCGAAACACGGGTTTCGGAGTCTATGAGTTTTTAAATGTTACCTATCGATTTTCGGTAATAGATATTTTTAGCCTTGCCCGTACTGAAAAGTAATCGAATATTCTATCATCGATTTAGTTTTTCTTGTTGCGTCATATTTTAAAGGTTTCGCTTTGCGTGCGTTAAAAATATTCCTACGAATTTCAAAAACTCTTCACTACAAATATAAACACATATAAATTAAGTAACGTCAAATTAAAATATATTATTTGTATTTATTATGATATATTAATGTATTATAAAATTATCGAGAACCTCGTGTTTTAACTTAGAACTTTAAAACTGCAAGCATAACTTTAGTTAATTAATTAAATATTTATATTTAACTAGGCAAAATACGCTTTTATATTACACTTGTTGTATTTTCGGGTTTTCGCCTAAGAGATATTTTACTATTTTGGATTAAAATTATTGTTATTGATCCTAAAAAAATAATTGAGTTGTAGAAAGCTCACTGTATGTATGTGTAAGTACAGATTATAATATTATGAGTATAGTTGTGGTAGTAGTTGTTTTGTATTGTATGTATTTAATGTATAATATTTGTATTGTATGGTAGAACAGGTCAGTAAAAAAAAAAATAAATAAATAAAAATATAACTAAATTTAAACATTTTTATTTTCATACACATAATATAAATATTTAAGTAATCATTAAGTATAACTATATAAATGTTATACGTATGTATAGCTAAGTATTATAATATTGGCTGCATTTTAGCTGATTTAGTTAAAGGGATTAATACATTATTACGTTTAATTTGATATCGTTTGAAATTCATTAGTTTATGGGATTTGAAAAAGGTTTAGTTTTTGAATTTTAGTATATTAGGTTAGGTTTAAATATTACAATATACACAAAAGTTAAAAATATTTATAATTTCACTAAATTAAAATCAAATTATCCGAAATATCTCTTTAGTGTTGGATAAATAAAAAAACTTATATGTCAATGTTAGTAAGTTGTTAAATATTAAAAATTTAGTTGCATGATAATTTCCTATTAATTAGTTAATATATCTTAGAAACAGTAAAAAAAGGAAAAAAAATCACTACGAAAAAATTGTGTTTACACTTTCGAATTAATAAAATATTAGATAAAAATTTAAATAGCTAAATGGGAAAAATAGAAAGAAAATAGGAAAAAGAGGTCAATAGGAAAAATATCGTTAGACAGATCACGTCTTTGATGGAAGGATTGAGTGAAAAGAGACATCAAAGCAGTAGATCCAAGAGCAAACCAGAAGAAAGTAGTAAAAGATAGAGGGAGATGGAGGAATATTTATTGTACAGAATGGTCTTAAAGGCCAGAACTCCCCCCCCCCCAAAAAAATAAAATTTTAAATTACTTTTTTCAAACTATATTGAATAACAACGTTTCAATCGAATATAAATAGAACTGCATACCTTTTTAGAAGTTATATGAAATGTACTAAATATTAAATTGTAAAGGTACTTGTATTTCTGTATTTGACTTAATTTATTGATGTTCATTACTATATTTATTTACTTAGTAATACTGATAAACTATAAACACACACACACAATTTTGCACCAGGGTTGGAACTATTTTTCAAGTTATAACATAGTGCTCACTGATTAAATCCTATAACTATTATACAACCACTAACAGAGAAAAAGTGGTGATATTAAAATATTTATAATATATAGGTATATATATTTTTTTATTAGAGCTACAGCAAAAACCATTTAGATCAAGAATTTCATGTATAAATATAGTGCACAGTTAAATAATTTACAGTTATAAATAATGATAAATTTTAATATTACAATGTTTGATAGGGAAAAGAAAGAATATCAATAATTATAACGTTAGTTGGTGTTATAAAAGTGAAATGCAGTTCGTGTTTGAACACCGTTACGACCATACGTGTTTAAATCGCGCACCGTCTTAATAAGCTTCCGATTGCAGTACTACTCATCGTGAACGCCGCGCCGCAGACGATCGGTAATGTATATGATAGGAGCATAAAAACTTACATAATAATTACGACTACGGCCGCGTCGCCGTTGCATTATTGCCACGATGGGCGATAATACGTCCGTTAAACCTACTTTTCCATATTTAAAACGTTCACAAACGAACTTCACTACTAAATCTAACCATAATATTTCCACTTCAAATATTTATGTAGTAATTTTAATTTTTTATTTTATATTTTATAATTGGGTGCACATAATCTGTACATTGTAGCACAATATGCATATGTGATATTATTAAGTAACAACATGCATTTTTTTTTAATAAAGAAATCACCTATTGATGACACTTTGCAGTATAGTAATTTAATATTTTTTTTTCGATTGTGTGGTTAAGGTGTTCAAAATTAAAACCCTTTTTTTTGATATTATAAATGTTTATATTTTGAATTAATTTTAGTTATTATGGGTAACCACTTAATGTAAGCAAATGGGGCTGATCCCAACATACCCACATTAAGCGGAATCCACTGTATAATATTCATCCAAGGGTAGACTATTATACACGTAAATAAAAATCAAATCGATAATAAAGCTTTAAAAATACTATTAAATTTGATTTGAAAATAGTTTTTCGATATATTCTGTTTTCAAGCATACTTTCATTAATACAATAACCATAACACATTTGTCCTATTGACCTATAAAAAGTTCATAATATTAGAAATTACTGTGTAATATATGTGCGTACCACTTAGAAGTATTCTGTTAAAAACGAAAAATACAAAGGTACGAAGGATAGAAATTTCTTAGATTTCTGTGATTTACGACGAATTTTTAAAATGTTATACTAATTAATATTACTATCGGGGTCATATTAAAGGTCAATATATATTGGGAGAAAAATAATTTGATAAATAAATATGTAAGTAAGAAAAAGAGAAAAAATATTTTCTTCGATTTCACATTTTTATTGAGTTTCAAACTTTATCGATGTACAATTCCAATTATATATGTATTTTTGATTTACAATTAAATTACATTATGTTATAATAAAATCAATGTGAATATAATCTAAATGAATGTAATATAATTTAGGTAACTACATCCATAAATTATAATTCATATTTTTGTATCTGTTTACATGCAAATATATGTAAATTAATATATTATTAATTATTACTTGTATAGTTTATATACCTAATATGATGTATTACTTTAGTAGAAGCTATTGTGGTTATGTGTTATTATTGTAATATAGTTATAATCACATCATCGATAACTCCCAAATAATAATCAAAACATCTATATTTTTAATTTTTTAAAACATAATATCAGTAAGATAATAAGTAATAGAATAATACAAACAACTTGCAAATATACTTGCAATAATGATTAAAAATATGATATTACCTACGAGTATTTTCACAACTATCTTCCTTATCATGTTAAATGACTGTACTTGTATCCTACACGATAAAACCATATTTGTTCAATTAACCCGTTTATTTTTGGGAGATTTATTATTATTTTCCCATATATATATTTATATAACTATTTATATATAATAGATATGTATCGTTAACTGTTTACATATTATGATATATTACATAAATGTTATATTATATGAAATATTCTGATTTATAGTTTAATCCAGTGGCGTATCCATGGGGGGTATGAGGGTCAGAACTCCCCCTCCACGAACCTGAGATGGTAAATTAACTTTTACATGAAACACGGTTTTTTCTTTAACATTTTTTATTTTAGAATTTAGACTTGGAAATCATATTAATAGTTTGTATAAACACTATAAACGTATTAAACATACGTTGTACACACACAAGTCATAGTATTATGATCATATTTTGATACTTTACTACTACTTTGATAATTTTTGCTTGGGAACATATTATTTAGGTTTTCTACAACGGTTGATTCTAAATCGGTCGCCTGGTCCCGATAACTGAGATAAAAGGGATATCTTGTCTGTATTCAAAGTTTATTTTGGGTATAACTATTGCATTCGCGGCTCACCAATCATTTAACACAAGCACGTTATTGTGTAAAATGAATAGTTATTAGTTAATAGTTGGCCGTTGCCTCTTGGTGTCCACTGTTTTACTTACTACTCGTTTATTCGTTTACATCTGACATTTGTATTCCATTGTATTTGTTTTATTTGATATCATTTTAAGACGTCTAAACATTCCATTATGGTAAGATATTTTTAAAATTTAATTTTTAGTATACTTAAGTGATTGGACAGAAAATATTCTAATATCTAATATTTATGTCCCTACATTATTTCCTAGTTCCTAAATTGTTGTTATTATTATTATTATTTATTATTTTAGGCAAATTCTCTAACAAATAAGCAGACTAGAAAAATGTATTTTTTTTACCTGAGTCAAAAAAACTAATGTCAACCAGATTTAAAAATACCGAAATCAATACACATGCATGTAGTCAAAATT